GGGGCATGCTTTAGGTGGGAGCTGCGTGCTCCTGGGGAAAGGGGGGTAGAGGGTTGGTCCTATATTGGGGCCGAGGGAGAGTGGGCGACTCTCCTCGGTGGAGGCAGTGTAGGGGGGAGGGGGAGGGGGAGGGGAAGGGAGGGGCGATCTCTCTCAAAGAAGTCTATCATCCAGTTTACAATAGCTTTCCATTTGGTTGCCACTCGAGGAGGTTGTAGGAATAGGTTTTATCTGGCAAGCCATCTGTGATCCTGCGAGGGGTGGTTGAAAACTCGGTGGCCCTCGAAGACCGATGCTGGAGCAACGCTGGCCGGAGTCGGAGCCAGGTGGCGCAACTCTGTGACCTAGCTTAGTGGGGGCGTGAGGCCTGGTAGAGAGCTCTGGGGGGCTGTTTGCAGGGGCAGTCCCAGTGGTCATCGGGGGTCGTAACTGGAGCAATGCTGGCCGGTGCTGGAGCAAGGTGGTGCAACTCTGTAACCTAACCTGATGGGAGCATGAGGCCTGGAAGAGCTTCGGTTCGTGCTGAAAATAGCCATGCTGGTGGTGGTCGTAGGTGGATTGAATAGGTTTCACCCATCTGATTCGTGATGGGGAGGCTTTTTGACACACATATTCTATTGACTTGGTAGAGTCTGAATGGTTAAAAAAAAAAAAAAAAAAAAGTCGATTGTTCTTACGAATGTCTTAGGACTTTAGGGTTTCTTAGCAATCCATCTTAGGCGGTTTTGATGCTTTTATACTCAGTGATCTGTGGCCGTTCGATGCCAGAACGACGCTGGCCGGTGCTGGGCTGGCCCTGTAACCTGCTGATGCAGGAGCGTGAGGCCGGGTAGAGAGATCTGGGGATGCTTTGGGGTGGGCATCCCAAGGGACGACCAAGGGTTGCTGCTGGGATGACTCTGGTCGGAGCTGGGGCGAGTTGTGTTGCCCTGTAACCCAGCAGGGTGGGGGCGTGAGGCCTGGAAGAGCTCAGCAGGGAGTAAGACGGCGTTGGGAAGTCTTAGAAGGGTTTGTTAGGGAACCTGAGGGTTGTGAGCATTCGTAGGACCTCTGTGGCAGGTTATTGCTTGAGTAGTTCCCTAATAGGTCATTAGATACTCATGATTCTCCCTATGTTTCTGAATCACATCGTGTTCACAGATTGTTCTCAGCCAAAGCCGGGTAATGGCCCCGGTATCTCAAATGATCTCAAACGATCTCAAATGTTCTCAATGGTCTGTACAATTCGATATGGGACGCTGGGCCCGGTTCCCAGCACGTGCTGCTCCCCACGAAAAGACTGGAGCATTTGTTCAAAAAAAAAAAAAAAAAAAAAAAACTCACACTAGGAACAATACAAATCTACTGACCGCAGGGACCGGTATATAGCTCAGGCAAATATAAAGTGTTGGTATGTCCTTGCTCACCTCCTGCACCTCCTGATCTAGCCGTTGTGAGTTCGATATCCTTCGGGTCAATAGTTACTTCCACATCATCAACCTGCAACACAACCAAATTTATTTGCCAGAAAACATGCTTTTAGTCTTTTAGACTTGATAATACTATGACAAAAATGGGTTCAACTCAGAATCAACTGAGCTACTCGTTTTCAAAAAAAAAAACAAAAACAAAAAAAAATCAGGACCTCACGGTTCTGGCTCCTACCATTCTGGGGAGCAACAGCCCAGTTCCTATTCCCCGGCAAGTCAATGATGAATACAATAAGGACACACAGACGCTCCTTCCCATTATGGCTGGGAGGCCCTAGTAGACGGACGGCATCAATTACTTCCTTTTGGAAGGATATACCACCCCTCACCCCTGCCTAAGTTGGCCTGCTTGACTTCGATCATGACAACTGTAGGTAAGCTGACTTCCGCTACACCCATCTGTTTGTGCTTTGTGGCTTTTGTGAAGGTTTTGACTAGCTTACTCCATATTTTTTTCGCATCTGAATTTCTGGGAAGTGTTAAAAAATATCGACTTTCGGAAAAATTGCTTTCGCAAAAAATAATTTAGAAATTCCAAGTTCAATCTCACTGGATATTTTGGTTTCCCACTTCCCACTACTTTCATGAAGGTTTCAGGTAGAGGTGTGCATCATTCAGCTAACTCATAGGCATCCAATCATACAAACAACTTCACAATCACGAAATGGAAAACTATGAAAAACTCAGAAAAAGTAAGAAAAAACAATTCGTACTAGGACATGCAAAGAACGGACATGACCACATAGGGTTCATGTTGCACCCAACATTTCATCAAGCGACGCCAGCCTCGCCAGGTGAGCCTGTCTTGAAAACACCAGCCAGCCCGTGTGGCTAATGGTACACAGTACTACACACATGTAGCTGCAAGTAAAGAGCTCATGAGTTCAAATCCCGATGGAATCGAACTAACGTAATAATTTCACAAGGCCACTGTCTAAACCCCCAGTACCCAATCTCTCTCAGGAGTCAGGATCAAGCAGGAGGAGGCAGATATGGAGGACAGGAGAAGAAGATGAAGAA